TAATGATACTATAAACAGGGAAGCAAAATATTTGTAGTCAAATAAGATTGTGAATAGACAGACTTCAACATGACACCTAGTCTCACTCAGTAAACAGCTTAATGCAGCTTTAACCATGTAGAAAGCTGTTTATAATAGCAGGCGTGCTGCCGTTGTCGCATTTAAACCTGAAACTGTGTGATTTTGACAGCATCGTAATCACAAGTTCTGATGTTTTTGTTCTTTCTCCACTGATAGTGTCACTATATGACAAATATTATATGATCATTATCACAGTACAAGCGTCGCTGTTGATGCTACGACATCAAATTGCAGTATAACCTTCAAATCTGTCAAACAGCAAACACAAGCGGAAGGAGGCAGGGGTGCATTTGTGCAAAAAGCTGCAGATTTTTGTCCTCTAACTACAGAGGCTTAGCATCACTTTCTCAGCAGAAGAAAGATCCCCCTACCAGCCCCCTATTTTCTGAGACACAAACAAGACTGTTTCTTTCAGACCTTCAGCTTGGCTGCTTCCTCAGCTCCAGAGTGCCTCTGTGACTTGCATTATAGTTAGGTCTCAAACCCACTCACCACCAGTGGCAATGACAAAACGCCATATCATCACCTTGAAGTTTCTGAAAAAGCCAAGTGGGTTGCTTCAAAACAACCCAGCCTCAATTAGCTTCCTGTCTTATGAATATTGATGAACGAATGAATATTACTGCGAGAAAACAACCCAAGTATGAAATGTGTACAAGAAACGTTTCATTGTTGCATTTGCTGTGCTCTGTTGTGTGAGTGGAAACGCCACAGAGCGTGGTTACGTGTATTCCATACGGTTTCGAGGGGACCTGGACTGACATGTTTGCTGCGTAAAGCTGAGGCATTTGGGATGCAAACCGTTTATCACATTTGTGTGGCCACTGCTTAAAGAGCTGATATGGCCAGCAAAAATGTAGTTCAGCAATCCCATAAGAAAATGGCTGTTTTTTTCCAGCACAGCAGGAGGTCTACTACAGAGGACCTTGCACTGACTGCTCATTTACATTTCAAACACTGTCTATAACTGCAAGGGATTTGATGTTTTCCCTCTCTGCTCAGCAGTCTTATTCCTCCCTTGCTAATTCTCCAGCAGCCATACTGTCTGTGTGTATGCAGTACAGCCAGCATGGCTACCACAAAGCGCTGCTTTCCTCTGTGCCTTTGACTGAGTTTGCTTCCATACTGTGCCAGTACCATACGGCACTCACAGAGCCTGAATATTCAACCTTAACTCAAAGGCAGGAATGCTTGTGGAGATGCCTTTATAATGTGTGTATACCAGCTCTTGTGTGGAAATCTAGTAGTCACACTGTCCAGCTCACAGTGTCATTTAACATGCTTTGTTGATGCACATGTAGGAACGGCTGGCCTACGTAGCCGTGCATTCAGCAAACCTGGAGTCATGTCTCCATGTGGAGAGAGCAAACATGCTTTGTTTGTTTCCATAATCTGCTTGTCGATCACCTGAGGCCCAGTGAGCAGCCCGGCCTGCAGTGCAAGACAGGCAGGAAGCCAGGACTGGGGACAAAGCGGCGCACCAAGCCGAGCCCGCCACCAGGAAGAGCCAGCTTCCCTCGCAAGGTCAGGCTGCAGTCGAAATGCATGACGTTCGGCTCTATAGACGCTGCCTGCCTCTGCATTTCCTCCAGTCGTCACGGGGAGCTAGATATTAATGTACGTGGGCCCGCGTATGACTCCTCAGACTGGAATGAGAAGAGGCACTGACACAAATATGTCATTCTCAGCAGAGGCCTGATACACAAGCAGATCTCGCTGACCGAGAGAACTGAGGAGCTTTGAGGAGTCGGTGCAGCTCCTGAAAATCAGGATTACAAAGTGAGGAAAACAAGAAGGGAAACAAGAAGGAAATATTCCTATTACTGAGAGGAGCCAGCATCCGGTGGAGGTGGTCAATAAAAGCTCCTGTGACTTTCTGAGAATTTCCCATGAAAATAAGTTACAGAAAACACTCCAATTATTCAGTTTCCTTAAAGAAAATCTTAAACTCAACATGTTGTATAGCTTTAAATTCTTCTATTTCTGTGCCTTTAGCTTTATTCCTTTCATTTCTCTCTGCTAATAGCCCTAAATAACAATAGCCAGGGGTTGCAGGGCAGGATGAGATGGCAAACAATTAACCTACATGTGTTCCTTAGGAAGGCAAACAAGCATTTATATTAGGGATATTACAGTAACACGACAGTGAATACTACAGCGTTTATCAGCAAACTTGGAAGGATGGAGCACTGCTGGAAGAATTAGCACCTCTGAGGCCATTAAAAGGTGATAAGATCATGCACAGTCGCAATCTCTACTGTGTGGCATTTCCTTCGGATTCACCTGCAGTCCATTGTGTGTGTGTGTGTGTGTGTGTGTGTGTTCATACAGAAAGACAACTTCTCAGTCTAATAATAATTTTTCATCCATGCTGAAAATCACACAAGAACGGGGGGGGGGGCAAACATGATGAAACCTGAGAACCTGACGCTTTGTCAACACTGCTGTGACATTTCTATTCCACATGGGTAATATATTGACATTATTGTGGGGCAGCTCAGGGGTCTGGCTCTGGGTAATGCATGCTGGGCTGCGTCATTAGGGCTCCGGACAGATCTGGTATCACTTCAAACACTCGTGTGTCTCCTCCACTGCGCACAGGATAGCCTGTAATAATGAGCAGGTGCCAGGAGCAGGGAAACAGACATGGCACTGTAGTTTGCACACATGTAAGGACCGTGGCAGCCAGGCTCGTCTGATGTTGTACCGGGGCCTGTATTAAGACGTCCAAACACACACACACTGCAATAAATAGCCACACGAGCAGGCTAATAATAATCACGGTGGCCACTTACCCAAAATCCTGGTCCATCGATTTGAAGAAGAATTTGTAGCTATTGACGGGTCGATTGTTGAGGACATTTTTAAAATCCGCTAAGGTGACTTTCTCTGGAGAAACGGACAGTTTGACCAGATAAGGAGTCTCCTCCTCGTCTATGTGATATATTATTTTAGTCTCCGCCATGAGAGTGAGGGGAGGACAATCATTGACACAGGAAAGGAACAAGGGTTGGCAGCGCAGTAGACGGGCCTGCTCTGTTACCAGCTACCCGGAGAATAACATAACAGCATTCCCTAATACATAAACCTGCAAAGCCCACGGTGAAAAATGAAGCTCCGTGTCTGAGACGAACGCAGCGAGGATCCAGACATAATCGCGTTGTGAGCGCCTGTATTCCTGCTCCGGTGTGAGTCGCTACGGTGGCTCTCTCGGCACTAAAACAGGAAGGGACAGTCCACATCCTTGCGATATGGAGTTGGGAATATTGCTATTTTTCAAGAGGTAATTGGTTAGACAGTGCTGTCATCTAGTGGTGTGTCGGAGCTGTGCGCAGGCCGGAGCGCTTACACAAGCCGCTGCTACTGTACAGCGCTAACAGGCAGGCAGCTCAGGAACAAAGAGCAGAGCAGTCAGGTGCTTCTGTCTCCTTCACCACGGCATGTTTCACACCTTATCGTTATTATACTGCATTTATTAGAGTAGTGGTGATATCGTATAATATTCATAATAATTATCGAATACAATCTGATAACAATAATATTAATAAGAATGTATTATTATTATTATTATTATTATTATTATTATTATTATTATTATTATATGTGTCAGATAATATCAGGTGATAATAATAACACTAAAAATAATAATAGTAAATGCTTAATATTAGATTGTATTTTTATTATATAATCATAGATGTAGTTATTACATATATGAACTAATATGACATATGAGGTATATATTTTAGTGTCTTTTTTGCTGTTTATTTTTATTTATTTTACTTTCTATTACTGCTGTTTATATTTGAAGTTATTGTATTGTTTTTACTGTGAAGCACTTTGGTCACCTTTTGGGCTGTTGAAAAGGATTATATAAATAAACTTTGATTGATTGATTGATTGATTGATTGATTGATTGATAATATATATGAATTATTATTATCATATATATACCATTATTACTAATATAGCAGATGGAATTTATTAATTACCCAATTACATTATCTATCTATCTATCTATCTATCTATCTATCTATCTATCTATCTATCTATCTATCTATCTATCTATCTATCTATCTATCATTACCATTTCTTATGCATTATTATTATATTTTAAACTTAACATCACACCTAGAACAGCTTGTTACATACTGATGCAACATTAATGATTTGTGTGTTATGAATATTTTGGTACATTTAAAATACTCTGCACAGTATGAATTTTATCTACATATAAAAAAAACCTGTGCAATATCAGCATTTTGTTTAATATTAGTGTTTTCTACTTATGGAAGAATCTGTGCGATACTAATGTATTTCTGCATATCGAATAACCTTTTGCAATATTGTTATTTTCCTTGTTCAAAGGAATCTGTGCAATATTTTCAACAATTATCCGCAGTACTTATGTATAATTCTGTTTTTTTGTTTTGTTTTTTCTACATCATATTTGCACTATCCCTTTTGCTGGTGTCACACTGCAGATTTTCCCACTGTGGAATTACTAAAGGGTTATGTTACTGTGTTATTGACAAGTGGTTTATCAGCAGATGTACTACAAGAGACCATATGCCAATTTTGGTTAAAAAAAAAAAAAAAATAAGTATATATATATATATATATATATAATTTGGATAAGAATTTAGGTCTGCAAAGTCAGCACAATAATCATCACTTTGTCACCACAGAGGAGTAATGTAGCATGTTTCTGGCTATAATGTAGTCAGAAATGTACCTGCATTAACAAAATACATGAATCTTTAATTACACTCAGAACATGTCAAAGACTTTATCTCTGCTTCACTCATTGCATTGTTAAATACCTTAAATATTCATTTTATTTATTCCATCCGTAATCCTCTGCTTATCCAGTCACCAAATACATAGATTCATGTCTGTGGACTCCACACATGCAACAAATAGTCTGTGGCCACTGCAAATCTTTATTAGAGGCAATCTTTTATTAGAGGAGACCAGTATTAGAGTGTTGGAGAGAGTAGCAAGAGACAGATGGAAAAAGAAGGTGGGAGTTAGTCTGGACTACATTTAGCATTACTGATATAGTAGACACTTCTCTTCCTGCAGTAAACCTCATAGGACCATAACCACACAGTTTATTACAGACATGTACCTGGATCATTGACCAGCAGATTCACTAATGAAAATTCAGTGTTTTACAAACCTGGGTACATTGTACATGCTTGATGCAAACAAGTACTGCATTGCCCTCTAAAAAACATGATTCAAATATTTTTTTTTCCTGAGTTTCAGCAAACTGAGCCTTTAGTCCATTACTGATAAATGATCAATTAGCATGTGTGTTCCACTAGGCCATTGTACAGTATATGTCTTTATGGGTACAATCTGGATACAAATTTAGTTCTGACATGTTGTTTTTCTAAGCAAAAATAACACAGTAATCATCGCTTTGTCACCACAGATGAGTTTGTACAAAATCAATCCTTTTTTTATCGTATCTAGAGCTTGAAATGTGTGGCACACGCAGAAATGTGTCTCCAAACACCCTCTGAAACTGTCTACATACAGTAAATGAATCTTTATAACATGGTGAAATACCTTTTACAAATTACAGTACAGCAGAATTTGTGCAAATAAGATCAAATTGTAACAATTAAAAAGAGCCGTGAGCTTGCAGCTCTGTAATCATGCACACTACACGGAAACCATACCTTAATAAACAGCATGCATTTAATAAGGATGATAAAAATGCCTTGCACTCAACATAAACAATCCAATGAATGCAAAAAGTAAAGCTCAACTATATGTTAACCATAATGGTATAACTGCTAGTGAAAATGAAAGTTATACATATATATAGATAGAAAATGTTTTTTAAAAAATGAAGTAAAAAAGCTTAGTGTGCTAGAGTTACAGCAGAGGGAGTATTCCTCCTGTCCTCTCCTGGGTTTCCTTTCCCCCCCCCTTTCTCTCCACGGTCTTTTACTCTTCCGGTCTTTGCCCTGGACCTGCCAGCAGCATCTCAGAAATAACACACTCACTTCCACATCTTCCCATCAAAGTCTGAATGAGGAGGAGAGAGAGATGGACATCATAACAACAAAGCATAATGCTTCTTATCTACAGCTACTCTCTGGCTGTAAGGACGTTATTGTATTCACTGAAATGCACTGCACAATATATGCTCACCCTTATTGCAGTCTTTCGCCATATCTCTCTCTTTCAGTAGGTTGTTTTTGTAATCTGTGGAATATAGCAGATAGAGAGATTGTGAGGATAAAAAAAGCACATTTTTTCTTAACGTAGGCCAAAAATATTTGCAGCAAGAATGTGGAAGTGGTTTACTGCACCTGAATTCAAAGGATCTTGGTTACAGGTCTTCAGCTCTGTGCACTCTAATGCTATTTCACCTCCACTGGCCTCAATTCCTCTGCACACAAATGAGCATTGCTTTACTTATCTTTAGACTTTATGTTAGGAAAAAATAATCTAACATTGACCACATGATAATGTCTTACCGATCAGTTCTTCCCAGCTCATACTCCAGCCCTGAAAAAAAAAAAAGATTTAAGACATAATCATAAACAAACTGTATCCATAAAAATGCAACCCATCCTCCAGTAACCACAATAAATATGCTTTTAATGATTCAAAACAAATAATAAAGTTGTCAGGCACAAGCCAAGAATAAGTGGGAAGGTTCTGTGGTAAATACTAACACACACAATACCTCTCTTTTTGCGTCGTCGAGTCAACACGATGACGGCGACCACAATGAACGCCAGAAGTAAAAACGTTGCCAGAAAGTAGCCCAAATGCTGCACAAAATAACCTCGATGTTCAGGGAGGAAGACATTCACGACACGTGGACTGTCCACCTCATCGGTCCCTGAAGGCAGAAGACAGAGACACTCAAACATCTTCTGTAAAAACTACTTGCATTTCTCACACATAGACATAACAGTACCCATATTAAATATTGAGTGAACTCAAGAAAGCCTCAAATGAAAAAACAATGTGCTGCCTTGCAGAGGATTTACGCTCATATTTTAACTTTTGTTACATTAGACATAATGGCAATAAACAGGGATCAAAATGAAATGTAGTTCTACAAAAGAAAAGATTCGTATTCCCCTTAGAGACCGTCTCTTTTACATTTGTTTCCAAAGCCCGAGACAGAAGGAGGGAGAGCAGAGAGTTAAATGTCAAAATGGTGTTCGGCAGTAATGACTTCCAGACCTGATGTCATGCAGCTGTTATTTTTTTTTCCCTTCCTCAGAAAAACACAGGCTGACCAGAAAAAAAGGAGAAGTGTGAGGGAAGAGAGACCAACTCTGTTATGTGGTCTGTCTGCATTTCTGTATTCGTTTTCCATTTAGGACTGTTCAAGTCTTCTCACCAACACAGAAGTCTAGTTTCTGCATGTACGGAAAATAAATCCGTAACACCTTCAGCAGAGCTCATTGGTGAACTTTGCTGCCTGACGGGCCAGTCTAAATACGTATCTGGCTCCACAGCAGGCAGCACATAGTCTCACAGTGACCCCTGCTCTTTGTGTACACTGTCTAGTTAGTAGAGAATAAATATTAAAAAATGGACAAACACAGGGCTTGTAGATGCAAAACTGTAGCAACTACAAAACAGCTGGTGCTGCAGAGTAGCTGTTGCTAATATTTGACAAGCAATTTCTCATAATCTCAAAGGCAGCTTGATCACAGATGTGTGATCACAGAAAATAAACACTGAAATACATCAGTTCTCGCTTTACTTATTATATATAGTTCGTAATAGTTTTTCTCTGTGGTCTCTCACCAAAGCCAATAAATTGGACACTAGTTAAACTAAAACTACTGAGGGACTAATGAGGAAAACATGAGATGTATTATCACTGACCACGCTTTCAAAACCAGCCAATCAAGAAAAAAACACTTACTCTGACTTAGTCGCCACCCTCCTCACGGGGGAGCTTGGTTCGTAATTATCTGCTGTCACTGTATAATGTACCTAATATGCATGAAAATGCAAAGACATGTCCAAGGTCATTGTCTCTAGAGCACAACTGTCCAGAGGAGAGGCTCAGCCATGTCACAGCAGTGGGCCATTACCATTTTCTTGACAGATCTAACAAGTGTGTATGTGTTGGAGGCTATTTCACATATGCTGCACAAAAATTATTCTGTCTTTTTTTTTTTTACCCGTTGGGATATGCATCATTTGCAAGTCAATTAACTACAGAAAAGCATCTTCATTTTCAAAGATTGAGATTTCAGTCGAGTTGCTGGCAGCTCATATAATGCTTCCTTCATGATTAGAAAGAAACAATGTTCCATTTGTCCGTGCCATAAATAATTACAGCATTTAGGTGCAAAGCTCCTATGATGATATTGGTAATTTCAGATGAATGCTGGCACCTGAGTGAGTGCAAACAATTTGGTTTTAATGTAACAGATGAGATCAGCAATGCGTAAAGAAGAGCTGAATTTCTTGAACTGAGATTTTCTGAAAGGAAATGGGCAGGATGCCATCTATCCACGAGTACATTTCTTCTCAACATAATTTACAGGGCTATTAAACGGGCTGTCGTTTTTTTTTTTTTTAAAGGGAAGGGAGAATGTGTAGTCAAACACACACCTTTATCCCCTCCCCTTACTTTGCTCTTTCATGTCGCAGATGGAACCAGATGCTGAACAGATGTAACAGACTTCCTTTGACTGCTGGTAAACACGCTCTACCAGAGGCTGATACACATCAGCATAGAAACTGAGCAGAGACTGGGAAAATCGGAATAAACAAAGCTGGAAATGCAGTGTGTGTGTGTACGCGCAGTCTAGACAAATGGTCGGAACTTTTAGAAAATGAGGTCAAACGGAGGAAAAAACCACAATATACCATCCACTCCCAAAATTACTAGATGTTGGAGCCTACTCCTCTGTTCAGTGCAGTTAAAATGACTAACACAAGAAACTGTAAATGAAAAACAGTTGGCGAGAAAAATAAGACCACTTCCGTTGCTGCCAATTTAAAGCTGTTGAGTGTAGACAGCTTCTCAAGCAAAAGCTGCAAACTGATGAGTCCAAAAAAAATCCTGCTTTTCAGTTAAACAGTGAACAACTAGCAGAAAGATTTTGTTCTCTTTCCTTCACTCTTTCCCCTCTCTTTCTTTCTAACTCAACCAGCTCCTACATTCCTTCTACCTCCTCCCTCCTCAGCTCAAACACAAAAACAGAGAGGACTGAGGAGAAAACTGGCAAGAACAGGAACTGATTTAACTGACCAACTATGCCTATAAATATAACAAAAAACCCAGGAGCAGTCTTCTGACTCTTTTCACAATTCAGCCAAGACACCATATGGGGAAAACCGTTTACCATTACTAGGCTCTGGAAAAACTAATTTCGACTGATGTTTGTCGTGAGTTGCTTACTTGGTTCTGGCTCATCTATTGGGGGAATTCTGGGTGCTGTGGTTGGGGCAGATGGTACTGGAGGTCCCACAGTGAGTCTGAAGATGCGCCTCTCATGCAAACCACAGTAGTGGTGGTGCAAGTGGCAGGAATAAAGGCCTTTATCAACAGGCTTCAAGTCAGAGATGGATAGTGAGAAGTCCCCTAACGTAAAAGCATCCTCTTCCACGCTCATCTTGTTCTCGCCAAAGAGAGGTCCATAATCCCGGCGCTCTCCAGAGGCATAGAGGTCCACCAGTCGGTCGGCCCTGTCAGGACGAACTCCGGGGGCCTGGAAGTCCCAGTGGGCCACCTGCTGCTGGTCCTCCTGGAGGCCCTCTCTCCACAGGGAGCGCCGGTTTACACAAGGTAGGACCACTGAGCTGCCCAGCAACACCACGAACACAGTCTTCTCCCCATCCCAGTAGCGTTTCTCTTTCCGAGCTGGAAACACATTTGAGTGTTCAGTCAAGTCAACGTTTTTGTAAAGCACATTTAAAACGACAGCCAAGATTATGACTGGGGTTACAAATTAACCTAGCAAGTTAACATATTGGGGTTAAGAATCTATAGTGGTATTTATGGTGTGATTTTACATGAGTAAATCAAATATTAGGGATTAAAACCAAACAAAAATGATATAAAATACAACTTTACCTGACTACAATGCATATTAAGACTGAGACCCAACAGTGTTACTAATTATGCAGATTAACCTAATTAATGAAATAATATAGCTAAAATCCTATGATACTACAAAATACAGAACTTATCCTAATGTACATATTAAGCCTAAGACCCTACAGCAATAATAATCATGGAGGTTAACCTGACAAATGTAGACCTAAAGTTTTAACCCTACAGAAATACATAGAAAACCCAACAAATCCAAGGATTCCCTGGAACCCATGTGAGCAAACTTTGTTATCTTTTTAATTCATATGGATTGTTTTGTGTTTTGTTGTGTGTGGATTGAGCATGAAAGACATCACTTATTTACTCTGTTGCATGCATCACAGCTCAAGTTACAACATTAGGATCGGACCGCCTCACCTGACTTAGTCACATTGAGCTGGATTTGAATGGACTGGTGAATCTGACAGTAGTGGTGGTGCAAATTACAAGTATAAACTCCTTTGTCAGTTGTCACCACATCTGAAAAGAAAAACATCCAAACAACCGTGAGACAAAATTGCAAAAGGACAAGAACAATGTTATTACTGCTTGTGGAAAATAGATGAGTCTCACTGTTAATGATGAGGGAGAAGTTGCCGTCACTGAAAGCAGACTCTGGGAGGGAAATGCGTCCCTTGTTGAAGCCATTGTAGACCCTCTGACGGGCTCCTGGTGACATGTCCAACACTCGTTCCACAGAATACTCTGGGCTGTTACGGACCACGTCCCAGTGCACCACCCTCTGGCGGTCCTTCAGTCTGTCCCGGGTCCACACCATGCGGGGGCTGTGGCAGGGCAGCACGGCCTTAGAGCCTGCAGGGAGTGTGATGTTCTTGGTCTCCACCACCACACCAAGACTGCTGCTGCTCTGGCCCAAAGCTGACAACAAATGAGTAAACACATGCGCTCAGAAATTCCGTGCAGCAACGACAGAAAGAAAAGAACCAAATATGAGCTGCTATACATTCAGCTCTTATTAAGGCAGTGCATAAGAAATAGGAACGACTTACCTCCTGGCAGGAAGAGCACAGCAAGAACTAAAAGAGACAAAAGAACGTATGATTAGAGTTCTGTATAAATTCATACTGCCTGCTGTTGCCTCTTTACTGAGATTTTCACCGATATTAAGCTGTTCACTGATTAGGTCTTGAGAAATACTTGAAACTCTTCCACCCAGAAAATTGTTTCAGTGTCTGGAGATTTTAGGTTTCATCTGCACTAACCCAACAGTTGGAGCAGATGTGGGTTCAGTGAGAGGACAGTGTAAAGCAGCAGAGACAAACTGAAGAAACTGTGAAAGGCGCCACACCGGAAAACAACAGCAGAAAATATACCAGCTGTCAATAATATACACAGGAAATATATTCTTGTTGTTTGTGTTTTCTCACTCTGGAGATTTTTCCCACAGCACATTTGCTATTTCTGATGCATTTTTCCCACAGTGCTATTTCATTTGTCTGTTTACTGAAGGGACAGCAGAGACGCATGCAGCCAAAGCATACAGAGCCTCTATTCATCCCTGCTGCTGCTGCTGACTTGTTGCAAGGCCGTGATCCTGCGAGGATGAAGAAGCAGGCTCTTGTTCAGCTCACTTTAGACACACTACCTGGTGTCAAAAGTCCAGGAACACCTGTGTACTTTTACTGTACCGCTAATGGGCATTGTGAACAATAAAAACAAGTGCTATTTTTTTTTAAATGTGCTAAATATGTGAATACCTTCAGTACATTTAAAGTAATCATAATAAAGAATGTTTTTAGTGCTCTGTTCTTAGAATTGAACACAAGTGGGAAAGCCACTTTAACTCATCAAATCATGAAATTATCATTTTTTAGGATAAAAAAAAAACATCACAGTATTGCAGAATGATAGAAAGGATAATAAATTCCAGATAAGGCTTCCAATAAAAATTTTTGAGAAGAGATGTTACTGAGTCAGACCAACTGACTTCCAAGGGCAGGTCATTCCAGAGGTTTGGCTGTAAAATGCTCTGTCCCTCCTTCGTTTTGAGTCCAATCTCATGAGCATTCGAAAGATCTCTGCCTGAGAATCTGAAGCTAACTACACAGGCTCGTACAGGACGAAGAGTCTAGACATATTCCAAGAGGAGCTTTTAAAGAAGAGGTTTTGATATAATTTTAAAATCCAGGGTTAAAACATATTTAGAGCCAGTATAAGGAAGATAAAACTGTTTTGAAATGGTCTCAGTTCTTCCTTCAGGGTTTATAAGTAAGGCCACTGAGTTCTGTATAGGATGTAGCTGATCAGTGCACTTTTGGCAAAGGCAAGTAAAATCTTGAGAAGTTGTACATCTGCAAATTATTGAACCACTTCAAATAAGACTTTACATCAGTAACAACTGCTAAAAACACCATAAGCAGTAGAGTGTAATACTTAAATTCAGATTTGAGGTATTTTACTCAAGTATTTCCATTCTATGCCACTTTTTGCATCTACTTCACATTTAACAGGTAGAGTTACTGTAGTTTTCTGATTAAGATTTTACTAATACAGTATAGAGTATGATCAGTTCATAGCATTTGATGGATTGTTATGGATTAATCTACCAAAAAAATGTATATAAAGGTGTTAAATGAGCTCCACATGGAACAACCACAGCACAGTAAAATGCTACTTTCACATTAAAGCATTATTAGTAAGAACCTGGAGATGAAATTTATAAGTATAAATCTCAGAGCACAACAATGAGTGCTTATGATACTGTCTGTACATTTTTACACAAAGCTAGGTTGTTTAAAATCTATTCGGTGTGCGCTCACCATGGCTGCACATGCACGACAGTAAAAACGAGTACTGATTGCATCACATCCGAACAACACTTCACTTTTTAAGATTTGTTTTAAGGCATTTTTACAGTAAGACAGTATATAATTAAACATAAAACAAAGAAAGACAGAGGGTCATGACTGTGTGCAGCACAGGTCCATTTCTGTGGATGTCTGGTATGTACCTCCCCTATTAAGCTATCTGGATGCCTCTGTTTTTATGAAGTAAGTTCATGACAGCATATAATAATACTTCATGCTGAACAAAATGATTTCAGCACACACGCACTGGCACCAGAGAGGAGACCTCTGGCTGGAAAACTTTGGTGGGTTTTTCTATTGAAGGGTATAAACTTTCCTGCAGATGGTAAAACAAAGTGTCCCAGCCCCTGTAATTGTCTCTCATTAGACACACACAGGCTGTTGACTCATGAGGTTGCTGTAACAGTGAGACTTAACAATGTGCTACCGAATCACAGGTGATAATAACAGACATCGAGCAAATGACCTGCAAAATCACCGCTGTCTGTTGTAACCCCAAAAATCACATGAAGAATCACCTACCGGGATGTCATCCTTAAGGTAAAAACAAAAATTTAGAAAAAGAGGTTGTAGGTATGAGTACAACATAAAGCATGAATACAGTCAGCATCATTTCTGTGATTCATAGGTGCTGCGGGTGTGTGAAGTTTACTCACAGCCCTGTCACAGGTTGAGACTAAATCAAACAAATGTGTTCGGTTGCAGACTCAGCTAAACGTACAAAGATACACTCAGAGTTCTGGAGAGCCTATTGACTGTTCTGTGGAAACTCCTGTGTATGTTAAATAACAGTGGAGATTAGTGTTGTGTGAGCGCAAGTACTTTATCTTGTGTTGGCCATCATAAATATATATTATACCATTAGGCCTATAAAGCCTTTCATTCCCTTGAGATGTATAATGATATTGGATAATTTGCACGTGTATTGCTTTCTATAGATTTGTACCTATGAATTTGATGTCTATAGGTTACTTCAGTTAGTATATTATTGTAAATGTACATATGCTGAGCAAAAACATAAATGAAGCATGAAATATTTTATTAGACTACACCAATAGGAAACAGTATTAATTGTTGCAACTCTTTGGCATCGCTATGGATGGGATGTCATGAAACAACAAAGTCCGCACTGTATTGGAAGCGATAAAGGGCAGATGGAGAGTGGGGCCACAGACCAGAGATCACAAATCAGTAATGAGTCGCACATCTGCAACACATACAGTTAATAAGGTTGTTGTTGCTGCTTGTGGAATGCTGTTCCACTCTTCCTGAAGGGCTCAGGGAAGTTGTCGGACATTTTGCAGGACAGGATCACGTTCACTTGATACATTCACCCAGAGTTTGGTGAAGTGGACGACAACAAACAGAGGAAATGGGGACATTGAGGTGCCATTCTCTTCTTTTTCTTGTCATCTGTGACGTCACGTTATTTGAATAAAGCTGCTTTTTAAGGTGTCATTCTATGGCCACCGGTCAAAGGAGTGTTTGTGTACTGGTCACACTATCTGATCATTGTCCTTCAAAGTTGCAGCTGATTAGAGTGTGGATTAACTCGACCATTTGTCACCAGTTGATCAGCTCAAAAGCTTCTTGTGCACAATCTGCTAAACTGAAACTTTTTCTAATTCGGCTGACCAACCAGAAAACGCTTAAAGTGATTTCTTAGCAATTCATTCTCACTGAAAAGTTTCTATACAGAACAAATATGCATCTGTTTTTATATGTTGGTAAGAATCTGTTTGCACATGTTTTATTAGTTCAACTGTGTGTGATTTAGGTTAAACTGTGGATTTAGTTGAAGCTCTTCTACAGATTCCTAAAGACTGCAGGGATAGAAACCTACTCTGAAACAACACAAATCAGATTTTTAAAGTTTTCTCAAAGATCATCTGCACGCTGCATTCTATTCTGCATTATTGTGTCATATTTTCTCATTGTATTCATCTTCATGTAGCTGCTCTGGAACCACACCTGTGCACAATATTGTGATGACTACACCACTTCCTGGGTTTTTATTTAATGTACAGCTGAACTGAACTGATAGTTCCCAAATGTCACAACTGTAAAGGCAGTTTGTGGGATCATCATCTCAGTGTGTGGCCACCTTTGTCTACCTTTACACAGGACAGAGTGGGCTCAGCAAAGTCCAGGGATTGCTTACTGGGGCTTTCCAGAACATAAACATGCTACATGGTCACCTTGTCATTTTCTACTTTGAGTAGTTACATGCTTGTAAGCTTTATTCAAAACAGCAATTCTAATTTTTTCCATACCCTGTTGTTTGTGGCCGTTCATTAAGACAGAGCCAACCATCATAAACACGGTTTGGAGGAAAGGAGGTTTTGGGGGGGGGGGCAATCTCCCTCCTCCTCGCCATCCACGACTCAAAGAGACCCACTCGTGGTGAAACAGTCATTACTGACACATACAGTATAATGACGGGCTGCTGGATTGTGCTGACTCCTTCGCTCAGACCGCAGTTAACTGGAAACACATTGGGCTGAAGCCATAAAAAAAATCCCACATTCACAACAGGCCGAGACCAGTCGCAGCCATGCAGCCTCACTGGGGATGTATTTCACTTTCAAGTTCATGTACCTCCAGGGTACATCCATTTTATTTTCAGAACTCAGAAAAAGTTTGTCAATAAAGACTAAATTCCTAAATCTTGTGCGGCACTATTTAAATGAAGCAGATTGTTTCAGATAATGATATAACTTTGCCTTAAACTGTGTGTGCCAATGGGTCACAAGC